TGCCTGCGTTTGTTGCAGTCGTTTTTGTGCCGCAATTTGTTGGGGATTACGTGGTCCTCCAACAATCTCACCATCTCCACCCTCACCGGCTGGTGCTCCATCAGCTGGAGGAGCATCAGATGCTGGTGCTGGATCCGCCCTTTAAACAGAAAACAAGTTTTCAATTAAAAATTTTATTTAACATTTCTAATTATTATTATAAATATTTTGTACATTGTGTTTAACGCTTATCAGTACTACTGTCAATATATTTACATCTCTAGCATTTTATTAAATAAGCAAAGTTAGATTATGTTATAAAACTAACATACTCTCCCTTATTTTTATCCTTTTTTCCCATATTAAAGAACTGAAATATTAATTGGAAATTATAATAAGAGTTTAATTAATATAAATTAATATTTTAAAATAGTTTGTAGTAATGAAGTGTATATCATTTCTTTTATAAAAAGATGTGATAGAATATTATCAAGATGAATTATAAGAAAATGGATATTTCAATTATTCATGATATAATATTATTATTCTCTTATCCCTTTTGTCAAACAACAATGGAAGATATAAGATAGCTTGGTCATGTTTTCCAATAACGTACTTTAGCGGAGAACGTACACTCCGCTACACTGTAAAGAAAGCACAAAGCTTAACCGATAGAAAAAGACCGTGGAATTAATCTCTGGATACAGTAGAAGAGGACATAGTAATCCTGTTTATTTAAAATTAACAAACCAATTCTATTGAACATGAAGTGACACTGACGCTTTGACTTAAATGGGGTTGTAATAGTTAAAAATAATGATAAGTCCCATCTATCCAATACAACCCAACCCAAATATACATATATTTATTGCTCTCTGCTAAAAAAAAATGGTTGTTTCTTCTTAAATTTTTTTCTTTTATTAGTTGTTATAAATGCTTGGCAATGTTTCAAAAATAAATGCGAATAAAATATATATTAATAAATAAAAATAAATTATTTATAATATAAGTATAAGAATGTGGTAAGTCCCGAACATAATTTAAAAAAAAAAATTATTTTAAAATTTTTAAACAAATATTCTTTCAATTAAAAATGAATACATATATTTGAAAAAAAAAAATTTAAATAAATAAACATTTTTAAATTGATAATTTAAGTACATACATAAATAATGGAAAATTTTTGGGAATGTATTGGGCAACCTTCAACCTTTTAGCACTTCTGTTTTGCCCATTTATTTTATATAATGATTCATTAATTTTTCATATGGAATTGATTCCACCATTAAACACAATCACCAACAATTTTTAATAACCATTCCATATATTATAAGACTTTTCCATATTTAAATAATAAAATCAATATTTAAATTGTCACACTTACATTTTTCTTAAAAACTGTGCGGCTTTATGCCAAAATGAGGAGGCAGAGAAGTGAAGAAGTGCTTAAGATTCCAAACACTAAACGCAAAATTTGATTTCCTTGCTTATGGCAACTGCGGCGGTGACTACGAAAGGCACACCACACACACAATGCAGTATTTGTCTTCTTCTTCCCTTTGTTGAATAGATTGCCTACGCGAGCGCGGTTAGAGGTACAATGTCGTTGTGGTGCGTATGTGTTGGAAGCTTTTCCCTTCTTTTTAACTGGTCGTATGTCTCAATGAAGTTAAAATAACTTTACACGGACACATACACACACGCTGTTAACCACAAAAATTTGACTGACACTAAAAAAAAACAAATATTTTGGTTATTTAAATAATCCTATTCTTCGATATAAAATGTAATTTAATATAAAAAAACATAAAAAAGTATTAAAAACAATTTAAATTTCTTTATATTAAATTAACAATACAATTGATTTTTTTTCTGAACTAATTGATAACCCAAAAATGTTTTTGTTGTATTTTTAAAAAAGTAGTTTATTTTTTATTTTGTTTGATTTTAAAAATTGATAATTGTTATTCGTATTGTTTATAATAAATATTCTTCCAAGTGATCTTTTTACATTTTTATTTGATAAGAACGTATTTGTATTAAATTTTTTATAATTTCTTATGACAGCAACGAAAAATCAATGAAATTTTTTTTGCATATGACGAAAAACGCAATATCTCCACCTTTTGGTGTTCAAAAATTTTACAATCAATATTTATAGTACAAAATTAATAAAAATCTATACAATTGCATGTTTTCAGCTGCTAATTTGTTATTACATTGTTTTTAATTATAATTTGATTTTTACATATTTTTTTATTATTATTAATTTATAATTTTTAAGGAGCACCAAATTTTCACTTACAATATATTTTTCCAACTGCGAAAAACTTTCCATTATTCCAATGAAAAGCTCCACCGTTATGTGTACTTGAAAATGTAATGTTATTCTAAGCCAAATTTACAAAGACAGTGCATAAGAAAGAGATGACTGCAATGTGCATATAACAGTAACTTATATTGCGCCATCTAATGTAAAAATACAATTCACGCATAAATAATATTTAAAATGTCCAATAAAAGTTTTATTTTACATTATTTTTCATTTAATATTAATTATTAATTATAAGCAAATACTATATATTTGTTATTTTAATTATAAATTACATTTAAGATACATCGATTTTTACATAAAATATTATTGCAAATAAATAGAAGTAATTACTATATTTTTCTTTTTTGAAATTTAAAATAACTTTACGAGACATTGATTTTTACATAAAATGTGTTTGCAAATGAATAGACGTCATTAAAAAACAGTATAAATGAATTAAAGTATAAACACTTTAAGAAATCATCAATTTCATTGTATAATTTTTATATATATATTTAATATTTGCTTCACAGTTATAAATTTAAATATTAATAAAATTCATATATTAATTCTATTTTTAAAATTTTAATTATTAAAATTATTATTATTCAATTAATATTTTACATTATAACGCAAAAATTTTGTAAAATAATAAAGAAAAAAAATGAAAAAGTTTTATATAAATGGGGAAATTTTGGTTATTGTGTATTTGGGTTTATTAAATAAATCATATAAATGCTAATTTTTTTTCGATTTATTCAAAGTTAAAAATTTAAAAAAGTTAATGTATTAAAACATTGTAATGTAATTAATTTTCAATATATTTATGGAAACGATATATTTTTCGTTTAAAATATTCGCTGAAGGTAGTAATTTAGATTTACTATAATAAACAAATTGTTTTTAATTGAAATATTCATTCTCTACACAAACTCTATAACTTCTCTATTTATGATCCATACTTAAATAAATTGATTTTGTACATAAACTAATTAAATCTTACACTAATCAATTAGTTCGAACACATAGTTGTTAAACTTGATATAGGTTAATTAGAACACTATATAAATTTCTACATTATTGCTTCGAACATGTTCAATTCAAAATTTTAATATAACCTATTGTTTTAATTAAATAATTTTCAGCGTGCAATTTTGAGTTTCTGCAAATTGTTGCATATGCTTTTACTGTTTTTACTATTCTATATAAATTATTCAAAGTTGCTTAAAAATTTAAAACAAAATTGTGTTATTAATTTTTTAGCAAGTAAAATTACTTTTCTTATAGGTCTTACGACTACACTAGCTATAGTAGAAGCAGATTTTTGGATACATTTCCACATGTTCAGTAATACATTAAAGATTTAGAACAATAAGTATTCCTTTTAAAACATCAAACTTGTTAAATTCTAGTCAATGTAGACGCCAAGTGACGTTACTACACAAACATCACTTGATTTCACAAGTTTTTAAAAAAATTTCGAAGATTATATATATATATATATTTATATATATATATTATTGAGAAATGAACTATAATAGAGATATAATACAGATATAAATACAATAACATATTTATTACTAATATATATCTGAACTTGCTGAAAAGTTGTCGATTTTACCTTTGTGTCTATTCAGTTATTTAAATTTTGAATATTTACTACTACTAATAACACTGAACAAAATCAGCTGTTTTTATTCTAAAAGCAGCGGCTGATGTAAACAAAAAAGTGTAGTTCTTCAAATAGCATTTGTTTTAAATTTATAACCATAACATTAAACATGTAAATATTTATACACTATAAAACTTTAAATAATATTAGTTTTAATAATATTGCCAATAATGTAATATACAATAGTAATTGCAGGTTCCAAAAATACTTCACCTGGGCTTCATTATTTACAGCGGCTAAAAATATTTGTAATCAATACAGCAGCTTCGCAGATTTCTTTATTTACATATGAAATTGAAAACGCCATGTGCGACAGATTGGAGCAAGAATGCAGTCGAGAAGTTGTTGATGACAAACGACCAACATTTGGGAACCGTTTCTTAACTAACGATGTCGATGTTTACACGCACAATGCTTGGTAAATATAATTATATACGAGTAATTGAAAAGTGTTGCAGACGTTATTTCTCTACTGAATGGGAATTTACACGCCATCGCAAAAAACCTAAAAGCGGCGGCAGAGTACTTACAAAACCAAGTGATGCTTTTCAATTTAATGCGTGGTATTAACTGACATCTAATTTTTAATTATAATATTTTTAAATACTTTTTACAGGGATAACGTAGAATGGGATGAGGAACAAGAGCAAGAAGCACGCCAAGCTGTGCTTAAAAATTCGACTGAAAAAATGTCTACAGAAAATCAACTAAAATATCAACAAGAAGCTGATAAATTTTGGGATACTTTCTATGATATACATCAAAATCGTTTCTTCAAAGATAGACATTGGCTTTTCACGGAATTCCCAGAGTTAGCGCCACAAAGCAATGACAAAGACATAAACTTAGCACCACGTACTATCTTCGAATTGGGCTGCGGTGTTGGTAACACAATTTTGCCAATATTAAAATATAGCAAAGAGCCACGATTAAAGGTATATGGTTGTGATTTTTCAGCTCGTGCAATTGAAATACTACAAACACATCCAGAATTTGATACAGGACGTTGTCATGTATTTGTTATGGACGCAACCAGCGACAAATGGACTGTGCCATTTGAAGAAAACTCACTGGATGTGATTGTTCTCATATTTGTTTTGTCTGCAATCGAACCAGCAAGAATGCAAAATGTGGCTCAAAATTGTTTTAAATATTTGCGTCCTGGTGGATTAGTACTCTTTCGTGATTATGGTCGTTATGACATGGCGCAATTGAGATTTAAAAGCGGCAAATGTTTGCAAGATAACTTTTATGTGCGCGGCGATGGTACAATGGTATACTTCTTCACACAGGAGGAGTTAAGGGATCTGTTTTGCAATGCCGGTTTTATGGAGGAGCAAAATGTAGTCGATCGTCGTTTGCAAGTTAATCGTGGACGTATGTTGAAAATGTACAGAGTTTGGATACAAAAGAAGTTTAAAAAACCAGTTAACAACGAAGAATAAGCGCTGACGATATTATTTGTATGTAATGATTGTATATTGTTAAATAAAAATTGTTATCAAAATATAATTTATGTGTAAATATATTTTTGTTTCTTTTATTAGAATAATCACAAAACTTTGTAATTGTCTTTTAGCGTAATATAAGTTAACGTTATTATGGTATGTAATATATTATTGAATCATACTTAAAGTTTAAATAAATAATTATGATATATGTACACAAATTTATTTATGAGTACTTCAAACTTTGTTAATATTAAATAAGAAATTCCTTATCAGAAATTTAAACTTATTTTCACCACATATACGAAGAACTGTCAAAGTAAGAAACACAATCCACATTCATTTCAAATAGGGTTGCAGGTGTCTTTACACCATATGTGTGGTAAAGTTCTTCAACGGAATTACACGGAGTAAATTACACAAAACTTAAAATCTTCGTGATTGAAAAGTTAATTACAAATTTAATTTTATTTCTTTTTTCGTAATATTTTACAGGTTATGATAGTCCTTTTTTGCACACAAATCATTTATGAAATTATGGTTAATATTTTGATTAGTCTTGTATCTTCGAAATGTAAGATTGTGAAATTCGATATTCTATTAGAGTTTTTATTTCTCTTATGTCGTTTTCGATTGGTAAGTCCGGGTTTTTCAAACGAGATTCTTTGTTAGTGCAATTTTCATTTTTGATTGGTAAATTTGGAGTTAAATGTATAACACATGAGATAAATTTATAACACTTTATATATTTTGCCAGAGTAACAAGATTACCCTAAAATTAATAGCAGTTTCATATAAAAACAGATAAAGTGAAGATTCGACATATGCATTTTTAAAAAATATAAATGTCTACTCTAAAAACGTTTGGCTGGGCAACAAAATTTAGATTAATTCCAGATTTACTAATCGAAAACGCAATTCTAGTGCCTAATTTGGCGATATTATTTTACAAACATATGAGAGTGAACTGTCACGCAAGGCATCATAAACTCAATATTAATAATCTTACAACCATGGAACGATGGAACCTTGTTGTAAAATATACATAATTATAATAATTTATTTGAGCGCACTATAAGCGAAAGTACAGAGACATTTTAACCTAAATTTGTAGCAGTTGTGTTTAGGCCTAAGCATTATCAAAACTTTTGTCTAACTAAAAATATTAGTGCTTTATAGTAAGTGATATTTTAGCATATTTTCTCGACTAGTTTCAACGAAATTAAGTTGTTTTTTCTAAACAAAATTCACTTTTAAGGTCAAATTAAGGAAAATGGCCTTAATTTCCTTGAAATTAAAGGACAAAATTAAGATAATATCTGAAATTATAATAGCTGAAATTAAAGCACATTTCAAATGGAACTATGCGTAAGATAAATTTTAAGCAAAAGATAAGTTGAGATAACTACAAGGTGACAACCTTTGTCAGTGACAGCTGAATTTAATAAAATCGGAAAAAGTTTTAAACATCCAGCAAATTTTTAAATTTGAATATAGAGAAAAAACTGTAATTGTTATTAATTTAAAATAGAGTGAAAAATAATAATTCACATAACTGAAATCCACCAAAGCTAATAAAACTACTATAACAATCAACTTTCAAAATTTCCCAGATATAAATGGTGTTTGGAGCACGTAATTTTTAACATTCCATTTGTAAACAAAAAACATATGATTTCCTTAATTTTGGACAGTACACTTTCGATATTATTTTAATTTCATTTCATCAATATCAAAAATTTGGCTGTCTGAACATAGTATAACATTCAAAATAATTTTTTGTATTGATTATATTATAAACACGGTTGCCACTTGAAAATTTTTTTCTGTACCAAAATTGGTTTAAAAAGGTACCATTTCTGTAAAAAAAGGTCCAAAATTTTTTTGGACCTTTTTGTTTTCTCGTTCTGTGTTTTTTATAGTGTTATAAATGAACAAAATATAAAATAGTGCAAAGTTGCATTTATAAAAAAAATTAATTGGAAATATCCACAATAAAATTGGGTCGTCAAAAATGTACCAGTTTTTGAAAATGAGTACCAAACGAAAAAAAAAAAAAAAAAAGTACCAATTTTGGTACTAAAGTACCATAAGTGGCAACCGTGATTATAAATGTTAATTTCTTTCGAATTACACATGTTAAGCATAAATTGTGTAATCTGTGTACTCTATTTTGACATTAGAGTTTTGCGCACTGGTAACACTTTTCAACCAACAACAAAATGAATCGGAATTATTTTAGTTTAACGAGAAAATTACGAGACAAAAGGTTGAATCTCGGATAGTGACAGTTTCATTTTTTGCTACAAACGTAGTCTACACATAATAAAATAATGTAAATTTTAGTTAAAGTTTAGAATAAATTTAACATAAAAAATGTGTAACAAAATTTAAGTGCAACAATTTGAGAAAATCACAGTGAAACGTAATATTATATAAAATATATTAAAATAAATTATATTTATTTTTTTGCTTTAAGAAAAAAAGTAGCAAACAGAGAAAACAGTTTAATGTTGTTGTTGTCGCGCCCCAATTACAAATGTAACAAATGCAAAAAGATAAGAAATAATTTGTTTATAATAATAATAACGCATGTAAATAATCTTTTGAAAATATTTCCTATATGCAGTTAAAGTGAAAAAAATTTTATCGGGTTTTGATCGTTTGTACGCATTTTTTTTTTGTGTTACGTTACTGGCTGCAATTTTATCATAGTTTCCTGCCTTGCACACAAATTCTGCAACATACAAAAACAACGAACATAAGCAAGCGATTCTGTGTAGAATATCAATTCCACATATATGTTCAATATAAAGTAACCACACAATAACAACAACAACGACAACAAAAAATAATAATAACAACAACAACAGCAGATGAAAACATTTGCAATGTGAACCAAATAAAAGAAATTAATAATTGGAATTTCATTTAAAATTCCTGCGTTAGTGTGCGTGTGTGTTCTCCACAATTCTTACCTGTTCCGCGGCGTTGTTTTATCTACCTGCCTCGCTCGTTATTCTCCCTACATTTTATCTATCGGTTTCTGCCTATACAGTTTGCTTTTAATTCATTAATTCATTTTGTTTGTAATTGTTTTGTGTTTGAATTTTGTTTTCATTTTTAGAATTTTAAGAAATACATTTTCAATTTACTGCTGCAATTTGTTTCGGTGGTAGTGTTTCCACCTAACACGAAACCCCTTGGATAACAGATAAATTATAATAAAGCAAAAGCTAAAGCCATTAACGAATTAATTAGTAAATAACGTTTGGATTTAATTATAAAACTGGCGGAGGAAGTTACGGAAAACTCCAACAAAATGAGTTGGGGTATTGAATTATGGGTAAGTAAAGTAAACAAATTAGTTTCTAGACTCAAACATTTTTAGGGAACTTTATTGGTGAGCCTTTGTTATTATAGTAGGAGATTAACCCATATCCGCCCAAGGACTTTTTTTTGGAATTTTTGGTCAAAATTTTTTTTAAAGCTTAATTAGTAAGGAGGTGGGGGTGTGGAGTAAAGTCACATATATATTTGTAAAGCTAAAGCTTCATACATTCAAAATAATGGTATATATAAACTCTAAAGTTTTGCTAATATAAATATAATAAAAATATATATAAAAATCCATGAAAAGTAATAAGATTTGCTGTTCGATTAATCGAACGTTGGGCGGATATGGGTTAAAACAAATTCTAACTTGAGTTTCTTATGTTAATTAATGTGAAATTATTAGTACAATTCCGTATGAATCGGTTGCTCAAATTAAAAAAAAAAACGTTTAAATAAAATAAAAATAATTTTTGTTGTTGTAGTTCACTACTTTTCGAAACCTCTATACCTCTATAATATGCTAGTTTCTCCTAAATATAATAGTCACTTTAGTCACAACTGACGTTAAATTACAACTTATATTAAAAATAAAATATGCAGTAGGTATAGACGATAGAATACAGTGGATGACGCAGATATAGTTTTAGTAATATTAATTTATGTTAGATCGTGATCCTGATGATAACTCTCAAGGATAACTCTCATAATTAATAAGTTAGTGTATTACGATTGGAATGTAATAATAATTACTTATATATTTCATTCATGCAGTTCAATAGACAGTTCAGATAGGTTTTAGGACGTCAATAGTATGCCCTCTTATTGAAAAGGGTTCAATGATACTTTAAAGGGGGATCAGAGTAATAGGATATAGAGTTTTGTAGCGCGCTAGTTGACCATACAAATATAGATAAATGTATCCTTATACTGTACTGAGAAATTACTGTGTGTTGATTAAGAGAAAAATTTTCTAACGCTTGATTAATTATGCCATGTACCGGGTATTACTTTAAGATATATGATATATATATATGTAAAGTTATCTATTTATGGTCCTAATTTTGCAACATTATTTTAGTGTAACAGGTTTAATTGATATGTAAAACAAACCTGTCATCCAAGGCCTCATAGATATAGTTCAAGATACACTAGAAATCGTTTCTTAACAGCTAAAGCCGTTAAAAGTTCGAAAACTTTAAGAAGTGGTGATTTTATACAATATTTTCAAATTTTTTTTTTGTCAAAATCCACTATTTTTTGATAAATCTAAGAGACATGAAACCTATACTGAATTTATTTCTTTCGGCAAAAACCTGACAGTGACAGAACACATCTTCTTCAATAGTCGTTGAAAGAATTCCCTATCCAATCACTGCGCCTATCCATAAGGCAATGTCATATAACATAGCAAGAGTATTGAACAGTGAGAAAATCAATCAGTTTCTGATTTCTTATGTGATTGTAGTCAAGTCTGGTAGTGAGAGATGAGATTCTTCTTCCTCTCTTAATGCACAATTTTTTCCATAATCGTTGCGAAAATTACAGATCCGATTGCCAAATCTGCTTATATGACCATATTTTAATAATACAGCAACTGTATTGGTTAGTGAAAATATCAATCAGTCGCTGAGTCCTTACATGATTGTAAATGATCCATGCAATATGTACAATTTGATATGAGTGTTCTTAGTGCCGTCTTTAGTGTGCTATAATATTTTTCAAAATCACAAATAGAGAATTTTATTTAAAATTTATTATATATTTAAATTCTAGTAACATCGAACGTTCATTTTTTTCCATAATATTTCTAAAATTTCTTTGTGTAAAGCTGTTATATTCGCGTAGCTTTATTCAGGTCTCAATATATGGATGTCAAAAGCAATTAATTCGTAAATGAAATATGTATAAAGTTTATAACAGTTTACCATTTATAGTTTTCAGTTGTAAATATGCAAATTTATAATAAGAAAAAGGTGCTAGAGGTATAATATACAGGGTGACTTTACTTTGCTTTAGATTTTGAATTAAGAAAATGCGAGACAGGCTTCATTTAGGATCTATTTTTCAATATTATTTCTGTTACCCTACAATATGATCTCAAACTGATTTATTGAAAATATTTGTTGTATATTCGGAAGAATTTAAGAACAATAATTTTAACTTATAGTTAAAATGTCAGATAAACTAATTAATTACTGTTTTTATTAACTTGGTTTGAAAACAGTACACTGCCATAATAAGTAAAGTTTTGCTCCTCATTTTTGTAATAAATACATAAACATTTACACCAATGGAGATAATATCTGTGAGGTCGAATTTGTAGTTCTTTTTAAGAACGCTATATCACACGAATCCTAAAGTAACAATGCTTCCCATTTGCAGGTTAATTTTTTCGACAATAAGGTTTGAATATAACCACTAGTTAAAGAATTATTATATATCGATTCCTCTCTTTGTGTAATAAATACATTGACATCTACAGCAACGGATATAATATCTATGGCTTTGAATATTGGCAAAAGTTTTTTGCCTTTCGTACTCACATAATGTCTTCAGTCAGATCATTGTTATATCACAACAAAGTTATAGGGTTAAAAAATGCTTTTCATGTGCCGGTAAAATTGTTATAATCCAATTAAAGTTTGGATATAGCCTATATAGACATATAGATACATATATGGGGTTAAAGAATTATTTATTACGTATAAATACGTCAGTTCCTAATGTGTGTTTCAACGACAGCTAATCATAATGTGTTCTATTTATTTTCAAGTCAAATTGCACATACACATTTGGGCCTTATAG